GCCTATAAAATGCTGCGGGGGCCACATAAAATGACATGGCGGGCCACATGTGGCCCGCGGGCCTTGAGTTTGACACATGTGCCCTAAAGCTACTGAGACACCATCATGCTGTCAGGAGGCTTTCCTTCAGCAGGGAAATGGAAACTGGTTGGAGTTGAGGAGAAAATGGGTGGAGCTAATTACAGCGCAATCATGACAAATATAAAAGGACACATAGAGGTTCATCTTCCAGGAGGTTAAGAACCATAAAACGTACATTCAGAGCTGCAGTGTGAATGTGTTAGAAGTGTCCAGCCCTAAATCCAACAGAGAATATCTGGGGAGACTTGAAAGTGGCTCTTCACTCTCTGATTTGACTAAGCTTGAGCTATTTTGTTATGAACAATGGGTAAGAAAAAAAAAGGAGTCTTTAAATCTGCAAACCTGTTAAATGTGTCCCAAAAGATTTGATTGACTGGATTTGTTATTACAGCAAAAGTTGCTTCTGTAAAGTATTGACTCAGACAGCGAAATACAAATTCAGATTTTCCTTTGTTGGTATTATGCTCAATTATGCACCACTTTTCGGTCTATCACAAACAATGACAGCAAAATACTTAGTTTGTTGTAATGCAGAGGTGACAAAGGCCATGTGCTTAATCAATGTCCCGGTCTAACACAACTGAGTCAAATAGCCCAATTTGCTCCTTAGCGTTTACTGAAGTTCTGCTAATGGACCTCATTACTTAATTCAGGTTTGTTGAAGCAGAGACACTTCTGAAGGTTGCAGGACACCGACTCTCAAATACTAGACTTATCAAAAATGTGGAAAAAGTTTCAGAGCTCTGAGCACTTTTGCACAGCACTGTACAATTGAGATTTGCTCATGATAAAAAGTCCAAAGTTGTTATGCTTTTAAAGTGACACCCTGAAATTTGATGTGGCAATCTGAAAATAGTTATTTGCGTTGTCCTCTGCAGGAGAAGTGTCACCAGTACTGGCCAGCAGAGAGATCAGCCAGGTACCAGTACTTTGTGGTTGATCCCATGGCTGAATATAACATGCCTCAGTACATCCTCCGAGAGTTCAAAGTGACTGATGCCCGAGTGAGTCTTCTGTTTGCTTCTATGCATTCGTGCTGGTGTAGTGTTTTGATTTATGCACAAAGACAAGAAAACCCCCTCAAACCACTTACCTTCTTCATTCAGGACGGCCAATCAAGGACGGTTCGTCAGTTCCAGTTTACCGATTGGCCAGAACAAGGAGTGCCAAAATCGGGAGAAGGATTCATTGATTTTATTGGCCAAGTTCACAAAACTAAAGAACAGTTTGGTCAGGATGGGCCAATTACTGTGCACTGCAGGTAGGAGTGTTTTTTCTTGTTGTTTTTATTTGTACCTCAAGTCCCTGTTGAAATATTTGTCTAGTCCTACATATTTCTAAGCATAAGAAATGGCCAACAATGCACACCGTGGCATTTGGAGGAAAATGGAGAAACTTGGAAGCCTGGAAATACCAGATGTGAAAGACATAAAGAGTGATCGTTTGCCGCACGAGGGATTGGTGCAGTTCACAAAATGGATGGCATCGTAGGGAAAGACGATCTGTTAAATATTGACGCAACATCTCAAAACGTCACCCAGGACTTTAGAGCTTGACACAAAAATGTCTTTCGATATACAATCACTTCAAGCATTCTGTCAAATTAGTTGATCAGAACTGGGAAGATGTGTGCAAACAACACAGCCTACAAGCATGACTCAGTTACATTCATTCTATTAGGAGCAATATTCCAAAATTAGAGCGAAATACCCAAAACGAGTTACCCAAGTCATACAATGCTAAAGAAATGTCCGTAAGTAACATAAAGAAACGGAAACTTCTTCATACATCCTTTTAGCATTTAGTAAATCTGAATAATGTTGGTAATACCATTTCATGTAAAAAAAAAAAGAAATATTAAAAGTCATATTGTGAAAAGCAAGTTAAATATTTTACATTGTATGTATATAAAAAATGTATCAACTGTTTGAAATTAAAAGTAAGTGTCCCTTATTTGAAAAAGCGATTTGCTACCTTGAACCACAATGATTTAAGAGGAACATCCAGTCTAGTTCTCTTTAAAGCTTACTGACTGATAAAATAGAAACCATTTCTACAAAAATTCATATCTAACTGGTTCCCCATCTGCCAACAGCGCTGGAGTCGGGAGGACCGGTGTGTTCATCACCCTGAGCATCGTCCTGGAGAGGATGAGGTATGAAGGGGTGGTGGACATCTTCCAAACGGTCAAGATGCTGCGCACACAGAGACCTGCCACCGTTCAAACAGAGGTGAGATTACATTATCTAATTTGACATAAAAAAAAAACATCAATACATCTTTATTATGTTTCATTCTTAATCCATGTTTTCTTTTCCCCTCCCACCAGGATCAGTACCAGTTCTGCTACCGGGCCAGTCTCGAGTACCTGGGAAGCTTCGATCACTATGCAACATAAACACAGTTGCTGTCTAGTCTCGCCCCATTCAGCCGACTGCTCCCTTTTTGTAGTGTCACACACAACCTGAATACACGCACTTGGCTGGAATGTGTGCGTGAAGATTTCGCCACCACCTACAGAGTCTAAACGGGGGTGGCGGACCACCGGCTTATCCCCCCCGTTCCCAGAAACAGCACTTCTAACTGAGCCATAGCGATCCTGCTCGACCCCCGGGGGGCGAGGGTGGGAGACTCGTGTCGCCCTCCCTCTACCCCTCCACCCAGTCCAAACACAAACACACCTGTGGGTCAGTCTGAAGAAGCAGCTTCAACCACTGTTCCAAAACAAAATATTAAATATAGATTTTTTTTTTATGATGATGATGATGATGAATACGTTTTGGTTCCAGTGCTTCTGTGAGCACCCAGATTGCTTTGTGTTGTTTTCGGTGTGGAACTCTCACCTCGTCCATCACCAGTGTAGCATCACTAAACTGAAAAAAAAACAAAAAAACAAACAGGACCAAGCGGCGGGAAAAAGTTGGAATTTTTTTCTATCACGAGGAGCGCCAGGTTAAAGTCTGCGCATCCACCCGATGGAATCCTCCTGGGTTTATACGCACCGGAGAATTGCCAACAGAAAGAACTGAGGACACAGAGCACACAGTTTTAAAAAGACAAAAAAACACGTACTTTAAAAAGGAGCACCAAGGAGTATTTTTCTTTCCTTTTCTTTTTTTTGTTTTTTTCTTTGGTTCTGGATCATGTTGGAAACAGACTTTTGTTTCCTGCGAATGAAAAGAGGACATTTCTACAGTAATAAGCACCACCAGTTCAACCTTATTACACTTATTACACTTCAAATAAGGGAAGAGAGGTTTAAACTGCAAAGCAAAACATTAATTTAGTTTTTTAGAAAGATATATGACTATTTAGTTTTTTTTAAAAACAAAATGGCACATTCTGTTATCGTTTTTTCTTTTTTTTTTTTTTAGCATTTTTGTCCCCACTGACTACAAAAAGCAAGGTTTGAAAGCTGTTGCCATGTTTTTTTAAAGCGTACAATCAAATCCAGCGTGGAGGATGTTCACCGTTTGGTGACAAACGCCACCTTCGAGTGTCACTGTCACTTACTCTCCACCTCCTATCTTTGTGAAAACACTCACGCTCAGCGGCTTAATATCCCAGCACATGCCTGTCTTGCCTAGCAGAGCAAGGAGACGTGAGGACGCGGAAAGTCCCACCGAGTTGTGCGTTTTTGCTCATTTGAAGCCACCTAAATCATAAAAAGTGCAGAAAGCATGTACAGCAGGCAAGACACGACGGGGAGGGGAGAAATCAACTATTTATGTGTCCAAATAAGCTTTCACAGAGATTTCTTTACCAGAGAGCGAGAAAAGGATGCAGAGGGGTCTGGGTTTTTTTGGGGGGGAGGGGACAAATTTCTCACTGGAATGCTCACCTTAGACTTTTCTCTCTGTCTGATTCAGTGTGCAATAAGTAGATGTATTATATATTTTTGTGTCGAGTCACTTAACTGCAGTTATACGCCATGATGAGGATGATGTTGATAAAAAGGTGTGTCGTTTACTCCAGATACAAGATGTTTTACACTCGATTTGGTTTCAGTGTGTCCGGACAGAGCGTCACAACTCCGGAGGTCACGTCGAAGCGAACGAAATGATCAAAGTCACATTTCAAACAGCATCTATTGAGTATTTTTGATTTTAGATTTATAGTGCCTTATATTACACGCCTATTTTGATAAAGTTACTTTAAATGTTTTTTTTTTTTTTTTTTTTTTGTGATTGTGTGTGTATATTTTATGTACGTATGCTTGTGTGTATGTGATCTGAGTGTTTGTGTTCATGATTTTTGTTCCGGTATGTGAAAGTGTTTTTTATTTAGTTTTTTGTATGTTCAGTTTTTTTGGTCGTGAAAATGTCAAACTGAAGGTTCCATGTGGGTTGGATGGTCTTTGCTTCGAACCCAGCAGCTGCTTCACCATTGCTCTTTTTTATTCAATGAGTTATTTTTTACGACTCAGTTACAGAAGTTTTATCTGGATGAAATGATCATTTAGGCAAAATGAAGTCTAAGCTGTTGCTTGCAAGAGTTTTATGTGCAGCTCTTTGCAAAGGTATTCCCTCCGTTAAGGTTTTTTAAATCGTCACATTGTAACCCGCAAATCTCAGTGTATGTCCTTAGGCTTTTAATGTGTAAGTCGTGCGCATTTGTGAAGTGGAAAGAAAATCACACAGTTTTCTTTTCTTTTTTTTTTTTTTTTTGCAAATAAAAATCTGAAAAGTGTGCATTGTATTTGTTTTCAGCTTCTGTAAATCAACTTTTTCTGTGGTTGCGACTTTGAGCTTTTGGTCTCTAGCAGCTTGGTACATCAAGGGACTGAAATATTTTCCCATTCTCGTTTGCAAAAATAGCTCGAGCTCTGCGAGACTGAATGGAGAGGAATTGTAAACTTCTATTTCAGGTATGATAGAGATTCTCATTTAGATTTATTCCCTCAGCATGACCCTGCCGCCGCCTTGATTCACAGTCGGGATAGAGCATTCGAAACAATGTGCAGTGTTAGCACTACATGACACATTAATCTCATCTCTTTTTTTGCATTTTTACTAATTTCCAAAGATGAAACAATCTTTTTCTCTACTGTTCTCCTCTTCTCGCCACATTTCTATAAAAGTCAAACTTGCGGACAGGTAATAATTGTTCCATCAAGAGATTCTCCCACCGTGTCTGTTTAGTACTCTCCTTGGAAAGACAGCCATCACTTTAGGTTTCAGTCATAGATTGGAGATGTTCTACGCTTGGGAATCTCTTTTGCCTTCACTGTAGTCATTCTGAGATTAAATTACACACATATGGACTTTATTTAAACTTGGTTACTTCTGGTGGCAGTGAGTAGCAGTGGATTCAAGTATCAGTGTAATGGCGGTTGAATATACATATGCATGCACTTTTTAGAACTGTTAAAAATGAAAGTCGCGTATCATTTTTCTTCCACTTCACAATTATGCATTGTTGGTCTACAGCATAAAATACATCAAGGTTTGTGGTGGTGCTGCGACAAAATGTGAACATCTGTAAGGAGTATGAATGCTTCTGCAAGGCAGCGTACACAACTCTTCGCAGGGAGAGTTCGGTTTGCCTGACAGAACGGTTTGGCCGCACAGCGGCTCCGCCAAGCCAGAATTGCTCAGCTATGCAGTTATCTACAACAAGATGAACAACAGAGGAGCTCTCTGTCAGTAAGAACAAAATCGACACCATCGTAGCTCACCTATGTAACCCACCTGAAACCACCTGAAGTCAGTCAGCCTCCTCATCTGTGTCCCTCAATCCACACTTCCGTCCCCCATTTCTGTGTTTTTATCCAATCATGATGAAGGCAAAGAGAAGTTCAGGTGCTACCAACACAGAACAGATGTAGTCACATTTTTTTTATATATATATATATATATATATCTCCATCAACGCTTGACCGCACAAGAGATGGTCAAAAGTTTTCCACCATCTAGCGGTGACCCTGTTGTCTTTTTTTATTATTATTTCATATGCATGGTACCACTTCTGAGATGCCCCCTATTGGTCACGCCGCTTAAGGGAAGACTTGCACTTTCTCTCTTTGTACTATGCACTACTAAGATCTCTAACAGCCCCTCCCGCTACGCATCCTCCCCCCCCTCCCCCCACGCCCCAAAAGGAGACTTACTTGAACTCTTTAAAGTGGATTGTGTAATGCTCACACGGTCGTGTATATGTAAATAACACAAAACACAGAGTAATTGAGATGCATAGCTAAACGGAGAGATAAAGTTAAAGAGACATTTATGAGATATAAAGAGTGATATCAAAGTTGCACCTGAAATCACGGTTTTACGGCACAGCTGTATTGTGCAATACGCCACTTTGTGGATTTGTTATCCCACAAACAAGAAGTTTCACTAAAAGCTTGTTCTAAATACCCCTGCCCTCCCCCCGTTCCTTCAAATGTGTCATGTAGATGGATAAAACTGAAGTTTATAAATTGTATAAAATGAACGTACGATGTGTTGCTTGGGTCAGTTGCCACCAATTGGTCTGTACATGTAAAACATTTTTTTTTTTTTTTTTTCATTTTGTTACGGGCTCTGAGTCAACAAGTGCTTTTTTTTATTTTCCTATGTTGGTTCTCAGAGCGTGTGGAAAACACAAAAACCCAGTCTGTATGGATTTCTGTTCAATATTGACACAGGTTTCATTTGTTACAAATAAACTCAAGTGAAATGATTGGTGTTGGTGTGATTTTTGTTTTAGCAGCAACGTGACAATTTTAAAAAGTAATTTTTGGGGAAATTCGTATTACGGTCAGTTTGACAGCTGCAGAGCTCGTTATGTAGGGTCGAGATATGTTCCGGAAAAATTGGGAAAGTTGGAGGTGAAAAATGATCCTGCAGAACAAATCTAAAATTTCTTCTAAATACAAGTGCAATGTCATAAAATATTATTACAATTGGAACATTTCCTAACATTTTGACTTTTGAAGCATTTTAGATATTGGTCGAGTGAAAGATTTATATATGATAACCGGCAAGAATGTCATGTTATTTTTGATACTGATTTAAGTGAATTGGTTGCTCAGGTTTGTTTGTTTTTTTTTTGTTTTTTTTATTCTGACCATAAAATATGTCTCCAGCTTGTTGGTGATGAGAGCTGCAATTTTAATTTGAAGTCTTGATTCCATACCACCACTTTTTTCTTGGTCAACAACAAAAAAGATTACAGGAATGTGACACAGACATTTTTATTTCCCTCCAGTTTGTGAGAACTCAAAGTCACTTGGATTATAAGACTTAAGAAATCAGATGTTTGCAAAGTCAAGACATCATCATCTAGGATTACACTTGTTTTAATACATCTATTTTTAATCTGATAGTGTATGGAGAATTGTCTTCCCACTCATTGTTCTGATATTTACAAAACACAAATAATTTAGTTACTGTAAGTCAGACAGTGAGGAAAAAACAGTTGCCTTCTCACACAGTGTATAAGAATATTTAGCTTCAACTGTGCATTTGAGCCTCTGTGGATATATAAAATAAAAATAAACAGCATAGCCTAATCTGTGAGCTCAATTGTTGTATGTCGGATTTTCAGTGTGCTGCGAAAAGAGCAAGTTCAAGTTCATGATGAACGCACCCCCAAAATAGTGGAGATTTTCCTGTCAGTAATAAGTTTGTTTAAGCTTTATTTTTCTTGAATTGTAGGACATTATGATTAAGGCCAGTTAGCAAAACGCTGAAAGCGCAAACACAGGAGAGTTAGCGATCAGAACCCTGAGAATATGGTCAGAGAATAGGTTTTGTGCCTATAATAGCAACCTCTTATTTGAGCTCCTGATTATTTTCACTCCAGCACCAAGTTTCCAGGCATATTTGCAGCTCATTTCACTTTACAATGCGCCAAGCGAAAACAGAGTCATGAAAAATTCACAGTGGAGTCTCAGATGTCGGTGTTCGTGATATGCTGACGAGAAAAATTTCTGATCTTTTCCTTTAAACAACAACCTTGTGAGAGGTTCACACTGCGACACAAAATAAGTCTTTGGAAATGTGGGGGGGAAGTAGGAAAACCAAAGCTGTCTTTGTTATATGAAGGATAGAGCCTATTATAATTGGCAATAAGTAAAAAAATAATAATAATATTGCATCCAAAAACATAACTTTCCCAATTTATTTGATTATACAGTGCAACATATTCAATTAACATTATCACTATTATTTCATTTTCCATTTTATTTCCAATCTTATTTTCTTTAATTAATTAGTTTCTGGTTTTATTTCTTTTTTCACTTCTTTTTTTGCCTGTCTTTGGTTTCCTTAAAAACTTGTGGGAAATAAAACAGGGGAGATGTTAAATAGAAAACTACTGTTTTAAAAACGGGGTCAAAACACAAAAATAGTCTTTCCTTTTGCTGCTTATTTTGGCATTCAAATGCAAAGTTATGGTGTTGTGCTCAAGGTAATAAAATCTAATTTTAAGGTGACCAGTAGAATCTGTCAAGATACTTAGTTGTTTTTTTAGCAAATGAGTAAAAAAAGAAAGACATCCACTTTATGTTTTGGTAAAGTGTAAATATAGCTTTGTGGAAAAGTTTACTGTGACTTTCTGGTCACAAAACGATGTCCCCAAGTTTAATGACAATCTATGTCAATGCCACAGAGAGTCTTCCTGCAGAAAAGACTATTAACTATTTATTTTGTTTCTCACTTGACATCTCTTTTCCAAAGCTGAAATTCATAACATGCAAAAGCACTCATCTCAAAGCTCTAATTTACAACGAAATCCAAATACGTCAAGGACAACCAAAACTTTACAAGAAGGTTGCCAGATGTATTTTAACAGGCTGTTTATTGAGTGACGCGAACCTTGTTAAAATGTATTTTCTTATGCTGAAACTGTAAATATTGGATGAATTAAGGCGAGCTTTCGAACGGCAGACTTTCTTTTAAAGGTATCATGCAGGATGCCACTCAGTTTATGTCCTTGAAGGAACGCATTATCACCAACCAGGAAACAATAAAACAAAACCATACAACAGCAACTCGGATGAGAGAGCTTGATCCAAACACACTGCACAGCTTCATGCTTTACTCTCTTTCGTTATTTTGAATTTTTTTTCCCCCTTTGCTAGTCGTAAAATGTCTTCGAAAAGCTAATTATATCCCCTCATTTTCACTCTCTTTCTTGTTATTTCAGAGTTTACTATCCAGCATTTGACTTGATGTTGGGAAGTTTAATGAGCATTCCTGCCTCACAGGGCCTCAAGTCCTGCAGTTCTTTCAGTCTCGTTAAATCCACATTAGGAAACAGATTCGGGCTGTGGTGGAGAGCTGAAACTAATGCTCACTTATGTTTGACTTTTTATTGTTAAATTACAGCAAAATGGCTCCCGGTGACTCCACAGAGCTGCAGAGGGAGAGTCTTTAGTCCAACTTCAAAGAAAAACATCTAGCTAAACTAATGCGTCTCCGCTTCAAGTTCAGGTCAGGCAGTCATATTCAGTAAACTTGAATGTGCATTACAATGACCCTCGTCACGTTTGAAGATAATATTTTGAAATTAATCCTTAAGTAGGTTTTAAACGAGCTTTTATTAAGCCTAAATTAATGTATTGAAAATGTTAATCTCAGAAGTTATTTTATCATCAGCTGTTATAAAGACATAATTTAATAAAGACTTGAAAACATGGGAAATAAGATCTGGCCGCTTTGAGTCCTTTTTGCTCAGCAGACGTTTTTACCTTTGAATTTGTCCCACTGGCGCCAGTTTTGACCAGTTTCTGTCATGAACTGCGAAGACTGACCTCTTCTTAAGTGAGGGAGGTCTGCAGAGCTCTAGATGTTGTTCTGGGCTCTCCCCGCTAGATGAGTTATGATGCATACATAATTTTGGTCATTTTATATGCAATAAAACCAAAAACGTAATCGAGCCAGTAAGGTAGTAACCCGTAACTTATTTCCTCATTGGTAAAATGTTATTGCCGCAAATTTTCATGACATCATTGGCAATTAACTACATTATGCTTGAACATTAAAAGTCCTTAGAAAATGTCATAAATGCAGAAGGCAATATAATACATACATAAACAGAACTGCATTTCTTGGACATTTTCTTTCCTGCAGTTTGCTCATAGACAGAAACAGATGATGACTTAGTTAGAATCTTCAATCATTCAAGAATATTTACTATGCATGTAGTAAATATTGACCATGGTTTGAACATTGTTTGTTAGCTGTTTTTTCTGTATTTCCTGCTTCGATAAATGTTTAAATTATTACTGGAAAGTACATTTGGTAGTCAGATCGCTTAGTGGAATGACCAACAATTCAGGAAGAGAACAGTGGTCATTGTGATATACATGTCTAGTTTAAAATGGACAAGATCGTTAGGTTATTGGTCTGCATTAGTTGACTTCTTGATAAAATTGCAACTTAGCTAAACGTAGTAATACAATCTGCCTTTTTTTTCTCTGAAAACTAATGCAAAAACAATCGAATCCTGCAGATCCGTTATGACATAAGCATAAAAAAGAAAACTCACTTTACTTCTCCTCTGCTAAGGAAGATGCGTAAATAACGGTGTATAAATAATGCTTTCAGGAAACACTTTAATAACCATTTCAATGTGATGTTCAACATCCAATTCATTGTTTGTATTCAGCCTCAGAAACAGTTTTTCCCCAAAGTCACACGTCAAAGATTCCCTGATTCCTAAAATTACTCATTTATTTTTTATCTGATGAAGTCTGTCGTAATCGACATCTCATTTAAAGAAGAAAAATAAACTTGCAATTATCCTTTTTTTTTACAGCAGTTGGCATTACTTTACCAATATTAAGCCAAAAAAATAATAAATACAAATTTTAAATAATTTCAACACTGGATTTGATTTAACAGAGCAACAGTAGCGTTTCACATCAATGGGAGGCCAAGTCCAACACAGCTGCAGCTTCCTGACCGAATGTTTCCCAGAGGAAGTGATTAACATGCTGTTACTTGCCAAATGGTAGAATTGACATATTCTAATCATTAAAAGGTAGGAAAAACCAAGCAGAGAGGAGGCCGTGGAGGTGTGCTTGGACTTGGCCGGGAAGAAGCAGTTAGACAGTGTTGAACATGCAGTAAAAATGTAATGGGTGAAAATATTACAAGGAGGGTACATAAACATCTAAATCAAAGCTGGAAACTCAACAAGCAAGTCAACCCAATCCTAACTCCCACAACCCCCCAAAAAAAAGTTCATATATGGGCTGTTAAAAAAAAAATTACTTCTGAATTTTTAATGTACAAAGACGCGATTAGTGATTTCAAAAAAGGGTTCTGTGTGTTTTCCCTGATGGAAGCAGCAAAGCCCCCTCTGTTCGCCTCCTCTGAGTGAGTCCGACCAGACTTCCTCTCCAACCTGCAGTCACACCGCCCACTCCCTCGTCACGGGAATCAAACGTACAGCCAGCCACTCGCACATCAGCATCCACCAAGCCGAGATTCCGTTTCATCACTTCCTGTGATCTTTGCGCAAGGAATCTGTGTGGGCCGCATGGATGGAAGCAGATCCTGAAGACTCAGGCACAAGCATACACTCACACAGAGGGAAATAAAAACACACACACACAAAAAAAAGAAACAGCTCTCATCCACTGTTAACTCAGTGCATTCGTTTGCCATTGATCTCTCTCCATGACTTCATTTCCCTTTGTGGCTGCGGTGCTCCCATGTGCTTTTGGCAGTCGTACGGAGGCCTGGCAGGGCCACATAGTCATTCTGGAAGCGTGAGTTTGGTGTCCTCTGTCTTTTCCTCTCCCCCTGCGTGGTGAAGAAGGCATCCTGAAAGCGCATACTTGAGGCTGTCGACTAGAAATCAAGACATGACAGGAAACAAGTGAGTAAAAGGTTCTACTTGGCTTTTCCACTTTTGTAGGGTCCGACCTATGGTGTGACTTCCTAATACTTACAAGTCTACGCTTCACCTTTTTAGGAAGATCTTCATTTAAAGTGTAGATATCTTCTCTTTTGGCCAGCACCTGAGATCCATCTTCAAACTCCACCTGAGTACAACAAAAACAGGGGTTTGAAAGATTTTTTGTGTTTTTAAATGATTTAAGGTTTCACTGTGCAAATCTGAGGGGTGTAAGTGCAAACAGATCACTTGCCATTTATACATAATTTATACCGAATCACCAGATCCTGTCACTTCAAGCAAGAAAGAAAGAAGAAGGAAAAAACAAACAAGAAAGAACGCAATTAAGAAAGAGCAAAAAAGAAAGAAAGAAAGAAAGAAAGAAAGAAAGAAAGAAAGAGAAAAAGAAAAGCCCTTTACAAGTTAGATTCCAAGAACATTTCCCATATAAACATAAAAAATACTGAAAAAAATATAATAATTCAAAGAAATTACACTGCAGATAGCTGTGAATTAGGAATGCGCGTAAACAAATGGGATTAGTTTTCTCTTAAAAAGGTCAAAAGTGTTTGAAGCTCTCACAAACTGTTGAAGCACATTTCACCATTTCTGTCCCACAGACTCAGAGCCTCTCTGCCCTTTAGATTTAAATCGAATAGATTGAACAACCAGTAAACCCTCAGGTACCTACTATAGGAACATGTTGGTGATGTAAACCTGATGGGTATAAAAGTGTCTGACCATGTAGGGATCCATATGTATTACTGGGTACGTTGTACTAGGATTCAAAACAGCCCGTTTCAACTTCGTTGCAACTCAAAGCAGAAGAGCAACAGAGTGATGTACCGTAATTGGAAACCTGCACCTTACTTAACCCTTTCTAAAGACTCTGCCCGTTCACTTTTAAACATAAAGTCTCCTGTTCAGGAAGAGTAACTTTTGGAAGCGAGGCCGAGGCTAAAGCTGTGCCAAATTTAAACCCACCTTGACAATGGAAAATTCTTGTTCAAGCTTCAGGAAAAAAAAATTCTGACCCATGTCCAGCAGAGAAAGTGCGTCATAGAAGCATTTGTGCATAACTAATGCTTGACGCCCGGCTCACTAAATAAAGCTCTAAGTGGAAGCCCGGAGACCCTGAGCAAGGTGAATAATTCAGTGAGTTTGAATAATGCAGATTGGCACCTCCTTTTCATCATCCTCTGCTTCTCACCTTCTTCTCTTTTCTTGACCTATTTTCTACCACTGTCTCTCTGACTGCCTTCCTCTCTAACCGTCACAACTTCTCCTTCCCCAGTGATCTCCTTCCGTTTCTCGCTCTGCCTCTCGGTTCAGATGCCGAGGGGACCCTGACGACGTCAGAGGAGTCGCGATGACATGGGCGTCGAGGGACTTCAAGAAGTCCAGCTCTTCGCTTTGACCTACAACTCTTGCTGTTGTCAACTGTCTTTGGCAGATTAAGAGTTTTCTGGAGCAGGTTGTGGGTGTGTACCTGGTACATGTAGGAAACGTTGGATCCCAGGTATTTAGCGCCATAGAAAAGCCCATCAGGCCACTTCACTTGAACAGCTTCCCCGACTTCAGGAGGACCAAAGTTCACACAGTCTCTACTCTGGAAGCATAAGAGGAAATCATCAGATACGTACGTGGCAGTCTCAAGGTCTCCTAATTTTAGAGGTGAGATGTGAACGACCAATTATCTTCATTTTTCAGTTTAAATCTGCATAATCAAGACGTTTCAGCTGGAGACGTGTCTCAGCTTGTTTAAAGCTACTTTTAAGCAAATTGAGAAAATCTCAGAAATAACTCCGTAAAAAAAATAAAAATAAAAAAATCTGTTTTTTAAGGAGGTAGATAATCACAAGGTCTACTGGGGATTACATGCATCTGGAGATGTAAATCAACATCCAGTTTGTGTTAGCCAATACCTTTAATAAATATGACATAGACCTTGTTTAAATTATACAGCAACGACGTGCAACATCTCATCGACCTTTTCAAAGGAAAGTTGTACGGTACCAGGTTGTAGCAGTGATGCTAATTTCCACCCTGCACAAGTTCATGCTAATCAAGCATATAAATACCATTTGAGCAATCATGAGAGTAGGTCTGAGAATAAACATTCACTTGTTATGTATGATAGCAAAATCAGCAGGAGAGGTTTTTTTTTTGTTGTTTTTTTTTGTTGTTGTTTTTTTTTCAAAACAAGCTACTTCATTTGAAAGAGCTCGTTGCCAGTAACACTCTGGTAACCTGTTTAGATTTAGAATTAATTTCTCGCCCCTTTTTGCTTAAACAAATTCTCACATTCTGTCATTTTGTCAAGAGAAATAATTTGTGTAAACTAAACCGACCTAAAATGGGAAATATTTAGACCGATTTCATGTCAGACAGTGACAAAGAGGCTATGTGTCTTTTTATAAAGTCTATATATTTGGTTTTAATTACATATAAAAACTAAAATGTACATGTTCCTGAAAAAACAAAATCAACTAATCCTATGTTATATTAGCTAATAAAAAATGGAAAAGAAATGGATTTCATAGAAATATGGACAGCCTTCACTGGGAAAAGTAGTAAAATATATTTCAGCACACCAATATTGTTTTCATGCTTCATTTTTCAGCGTATTGTGTTTACGCTTATAAAGTCTGCATGGGAAACCTTGGAAAGTTTGGAATATGCTCAGTATGTTTAGTTTTTTTTCTCGGTGAACTTATAAAAAGCTTCAGTACCAAACAGTTTTCATGCCTGTGGGATTTCTGACAAGCTTTAAAAGAAGTGAGCCTCTTTTTTTTTTTCTGAACCACACACAAAGCACTTTTAAAGCCATCCGCAAAATACTAGGTTTAATCCAAAATTGCTACTTCAAGTGTACAGATATATAAAAACAAAACAAAAATATGAAAATACATGCAAAATATTTGGGTGATCCTAATTCAATCAAAATTAGTTGGATGTAACACACATCCTGAATGTCACTCAGCAGGTTTCTGATTTTTTTTTTTTTTTTTTAGACCAATAACTGCTTAACAAACAATCCACAAAGAGGTTTCTAATAAAAGAACACCTTTCAACTGGATATTTTTGGTGTAAAGACTAAAAGTGCTAATAAATGGACATATCAGATCTCGGATCTTAATGGATCCGACATGACATCTCACAAACGAGAGGATCAAATTAAAGAAACCCTCACCACAATGTCCTCGGGGTAGGTGTCGTTGGAGAACGAGCCGTCGTCAAACATGACCTCGTAGAAGGTCTGCGATGTGATCTCGGTCACTTTGGAGCTGTAGTAACGCAGGTTTTTGTGTTTGGAGATCACCGTCTGGCCCAGTGAGATGGGAGGTTGGCACAACCGCTGGTTCTGGTAGGAACAGGAAGAGAACAGGGTGTGCTGTTAAAAATGTATGAGTTTCACTTCCATTGCATATCTGAAATCTATTATATGTCAATGATATTTTTTATCTATTCTATGTGTTGATTTGAGCTGCTGTTGACCCACATAAACAGAAGTAATTGATGTTTTCTTGAAAGATGATGTTTTTAAATCTATTCACAAACGGTATAATTTGTGGTTAAATGTTCCGCCCGATCTGGGATTTCAAGTCGCGAAGAAAGTTCAAGTTTTTCCAGTTTAAGGATTTACTCCTCGGGACATTGAGGAATAAATATTTTATTATATAAACAAGCCGCTGCAGTTACAGTAAACATCGCAACTTCAGATGAACCAAACACTGCACAGACTGTTTTCTGAAGGGTCAAAAGCAGCCGTTTGCTGATCTTCTGCTGCCTGAGAAGCAATCTGATAAGAGTTCAGGGCCCTTTCCAAACTGTACGACTTCCATCATGCAACAAGGAGGAGGATTGTTAAAGGACGCAGCCAAGACGGTTTTCAGTCGCCTCAAGAGAGGACATTACAGCAAATCTTTCTCCGACATAGTAGTACATAATTAAGAACTGGAAGGAAAATAATTAATTTCATTTATTATTATTATTATTTTTTTTTACAAATAAATATTAGAAAAAAATACAAATCAATACAAATGCCTTTGTATTGATCAAATGCCTTTGTATTGATCAAATATTTTATAGAAAAAAACTTTTTGGTACAATTAGAGCTGCAGGCCTTTTGTTACACGTTTTCCCCCTGTTTTGTGACTGAAATTTTCACATATTCCTCTTTCCAAATAAACATCTCAAACTCAGTCAAACTGGATAGCGATGTTGACGGCGTCGCTTGAACCTGGTTTGATTGAAACCACTCCACTGTAGCTCGGTCTGTAAGGTTAAAGCCGACTTGTCGGAAGGAAAGCGAAGTTCTTTTGCAGCCTCAAGAAAGGCTTTCCTCCATCAAATGTTTTTCACTCATCTTCCAGGGTCAGATCAACTTTCCCACATTAATGAAAAACCTCTCAACAGCATGATACTGCCGCCACCATGTTTCAGCCTGTATCCCTGAGGCTCCTCTGGAGTTAACCAGGGTCTCTTGGCTGCTTCTCTGATTTATCCTCTTTAGACAGAATCCTAAAATCCAATGTTAATCATTTAGAGAGGTAGATCTGCCATGTTTGTATACGATTAGGCGCGCCGGACCATTTTCCAAGACAATTTCATTGCCTATACTAAAAAGTAGCATCTTACTGTTATTCAGTGTTACTTTCTTATTTAAAAGGATTCCTTCTACCCGGCACGTTAGCTTCAGTGGACAGTCATGTCTTGGTAGAGCTACTCTTTGTTTTGTTTCAAAGGACGGATTGAACAGTAAAACATTAGATGAACAAACCCTGGGGTATTGATTCAATTTGTTTCATTCTCCAAGCACAGCTGGATTTATTCCGAAGGCTGTTCATTGCACTGAAATTTATTAAAGGACATGAAAGTAAATGAGACCACATAGAAATGCATGTAACAGATTTTTATTTCTAATAAATGTATCTGTATAATAAAGTTCAGAAACGGCACCATCAACCAGTCCATGTAACTACATTTTGAGGTAAAAAATAAACACACAAAATGCGTTCATGTTCATCGCAGGCTGTATTAAACTCATTCTGACCTGATGACAACCCAAAACGGATAAAACCCCAGCGATTAAGGCAGACTTGCACCTAAACTTAGCAGAGTTTAATTCAGCAATGCGGCCAAAATTTTTGCAAAACTAAACAGCCTAGGAGTTGTTCGACTCCTGCCTGTTTCTTATTGAACACAGCGCGGGTCTCATCCGCTGCAGTGAACCGCTATCCAGCAACTTACAGCAGACGAACTCCGTGATTGATGTCTGTGGCAGGTGACTGACACCACATACGGCCAGTCGTCTGGCTCCATGGTGACACCAGCAGCATGGGCACAGGTCACATGGAAGGAGGTGGGACAGCGGCCACATGAGCACTGGATACAGGCGCCCGCCTGCCGCTTCCCTGCACAGCGGCTGCGACAATAGATGCATTTCTGTAAACACACACAGACGATACCCAAGCCGTCAGTCCCACAGTTTGAACCTTGGTTTTGCACTAAAAGAAGAATTAAAATAAATAAAAAAAACATTTTTACTGTCTAACCTGCTTGCACAGGCTAGGAATTGACATTCTTTGCTGAAATCTTCAGTGCTGATATAAATTATATGATACAATTAACAGCGATAAACACCAAACAGAAGTAAAGTGCAATATAGAACTACAGGAGGGTGCTGTAATCTGGAACAAGGATCAACATGTAAAAGTGAGAATCAGTTCACTAGTTGACAGGAGATCACAAGAAGCAATAATTCAAGTTTTCTTTATTATTCAGACTAGGATTTTCATTGTTATTGTTATTAGTAATGAGCATAAAACAAAAATCTTGTGACTAACCTTTCTGTGTGCAGGATAAATGCATCCTAACTTCAAAAGTCACACATGACATGTAAAGCATGTTAAATAATAAAAATTAAAAAAGCCAAACCAGAGCATTACGGTCACATTAGGAAAACATATATATGCCAATAATCTTAGTAGACATTGTGACAGTGATATGACTTGTGATAATTAAACAAATAATTGAAAAGTGTTTTGTCTTTCTGCTCTGGGTTCATAGCAAACATAAAATCCAAATAAAGAGTTGTCTATCAAGCTGTTTGGGGGAAAAAATAAACATTTCCATCTCAACATTTTTCTGACAGAGATGCTCCTAAAATAAATTTTAAAAAATACATATATAAAAATTACATCTTCCCAATGGTCAGTTGTTAAATATGAACAAAATGTGCATGACGAAATAAAATACAGTGCCTATAAAAAGTATTTTTTATACTTTTTTTTTTTTTTTGCTGTACAGCTGTTCATAAATACAAGACAATGTCATTCAATAGATTCAAATTACTGGTTTAGTTTAATACAAAGAGGCACCAAAATAAATGAATCGGGTTAAAGCAGAGTTTAAAGGTTTCCAGAACAGACCGACACACATACAGGCGTATTCAACACACCAGCTTTGCCCAGTTTTTATGCAACACTGTTGAGATTTATCCTGCAGCTTTTTTTGCACTAAGTGGCCCATCAAGTTAAATTTCTCACCACTGTGGCAGTGGCCTCTGTCTCTCCCACAGAGCCACTCCTCCTTCTCTTCTTGGGGGGGGGACAAAAAAAAATAAACTGATGACACCCTCCCATTATAACCCTACATGTTTGCCGCTCCTCTTTCACCGCTTTCACACAGACCTCCCATCACACTCCATTTCTTTAAAACACTCACCTGTGCTCTACTTTTCACTTCACTTACCTGCTTTCTGCCTTCCCTCTTGCGGTGTGGTAATGTAATTTATGCATTAACCAAATCCCTGGAAAGTCATTTTGAGCCATCTGTAAATGCTATTTTGATTTTTTTTTTTTTCGGAGGGGGTGGGGGGGTTAGAAAAAGAATGAGTTGTGCCTGCAAGTGACGTGAAATAGAAATTAGCTGACGTGTAAATAGTTATTTTTCAGAAGGTAAAAATAAAAGAAAAACTGTCCTATATTGAGAGGGAACATGTACCATGCTGTGGAAGCGAAATTGCCCACTGACCGACTTCTGTTTTTGCTTTTCTGGTTCGCTTAAATGTTTCAGCTCAGGATGATGTCTTCAATGCAGCAGTCACAGGTTTGAGTCCAGACCTGATGACCTTTACGCATGTCTTCCCCCTCTCTCATTACTCACCGACCACTCTTAAATAAAGGGCAATCAAATCGTTAAAAAATGTTTTTAAGCTTTAATAAATGAAATTATGATTTCATATAGGACAAAATAGCCTTCCAGGAATTTGGATTTGTCCAGGATGTTTTTGCGTCCTTGTTAACAAATGAATTAAGTCTGATTAACCAAACGTTTTGGTTCCATTTTACAAGCCACATCCGGGCTTCATTTACTGCCAGGAATCACATATGCAGAAGCTGGTCCGGCAACACAAAGTAAACTAAGAGCTCAGAAAGCATCACTATCATCTGCTATTTAAGAGCAGATGAGAAACAATGCAGTTAACACTTATCAGTCTGGAATGGTAGTTATATATAAAGAAATTATGAAGCTTCAGGGGGAAAAACAAACTTTTCTCCCAACTCTGCTATCTGTCACACCTCTGAAATCAATCCCCTCTGTTAATCCCTTTGAAAAAAAAAAAATCAATAACTGATCTAATTAGTGCATCAAGACAGAATTAATTAAATTTGTATGCCCTCTGCAGCAGCAGTGGATTCATCTTCCCAATTACCAGCTAATCAGTTCATTTAACTATCAGTTAAGTATCAGGAGATACTGTGAAGAGAGACTTTCTTCTTTTCTCTTGTGAGATGAAGTAAAAGGCAACATAAAGGCCTAATATAAGCTGGATGATGAAAATCCTAATGGTTTTTTTTTTTTTTTTTTTTTTAAATAATGAGGCCTCTCATTTCCTAGCCGCTCATTCTCTCAGATGAAGGACGAAGCGATTCTTGATGACTAACTTGACCTACATTTTAATGAAGTCTTTTCCCATACCTGCTCCATTATGGACAGCAAAGTCAAGGCAAAGTGGCCCCTGTGTCAACATTCATCCACTGAATACAGTTTGACAAGATTCTTACTGACACCTAGCGTAATCTTCATTATGCGCAAATTCCGAGATAAATTGGTACAATAGTTAAAAACCAACTCGGATGCGAAGATAAAGGACAGTAAACATAACAGCGTTTTAAGGATATTTTCCCAGTGCTTGTTCCTTCTGCTAAGTTCATCTGGTGGCTGTGTTGAGCCATGCGTTAAGAACATTCCCACGGTAAATTATGAATGCCCAAGTCTGCGTGTGTTGCGGTGAATTATGAATGCATTGGGCTGCTGTGGCGACAGCAGGTCCAAAGCAAACTTCAAAACATGTGGCGAGTGGGAGGAACATTCAAATATAGAAAGTGGACGGTATATAAAGGTAAAATATTTAATGAAATCTAAAAAGAAAAGACTAAATCTGTGTTATGTGATCATTTTTCATCAAATTATTTAGAAGAAAAGTGTTTGAAAAGTGTGACGAATTTTCAGCTTAGTCATCTTTTATCACATACTACCTTGGATTTCATACAATTTTTTTTTTAATCTGTAACAGCTGGTCTTCCACTGTTCAGAAAGTCTTAATGTTAGCTATTTTTAATTATAAGTGAAATGTTTGGAAAAGAACTCAAGAAAAGCTGAGAAGTATAAGGAACTATTTAAAATGAAACTGAACAGCCAACATATCTCTATAGAAAATAACTGTTTTGTTTTGTGAGTCCTTAGCCTCCATCAGTCATAGAATACACTAAGCATTAAAATGTTAGCACAATATCTGAACTCTTGGAGTTAAGGTTAGCATCTAAAGTCTATTGGAAATGCACACAGACACTGCTATTCACCGAACTATGGCTTACCTTTCTAATTGCTAAAAAATAAGATACTATGGAGAGCTGACACTGTCAACTCGTTTAAATGTTTTAGAAAACCCCGCTTTCTTTTCTTAAACAGAAATATTTTAAATGCCATTTGTCCTGTGGGGCTGAAATAAACTTCCATAAATAATTATGATCAGTTTTGTTTCAATTTGACTGGTTTTCTGTGACAGTCTTTTTAACAAAACAGTGATTGGTGGATTTCTAGTTACTCCCACAAAATATATTTTCTCCAATAACATAAAAGTTCTCAGAGCAAAAGTGACTGCACAGTTTGAAAAGGCATTCATTTTCAACCAGTCTCATTCAAATGAAATGCATAAATTTAAATGCCATGGTAAAATAAAACGTTCCCAGAAACGGCATTTTGAAATGTTCAGGGCGGTGGTGTCCAGAGTTAGTCCTCGAGGGTCAGTTTCCTGTTGCTTTTAATATTTCCATGATTCAACAGATCTGAATTAAATGAACGAGTCATTAGCAGACTCTCTGCACAGATTGACGGCCTGCTGAGGAGGCAATTCAGACACGTGAAACAACTGTGTTCATCCAGCAACACTGGGAGTTTAACCTATGATCATCATACTGCGAGGAATTTGACTGAGTCACATTAAAGAAGGCATCCAAAACTCCTTCTAAATCTGTTACGTCTCATGGCAACAATTTCACAATTATCGTCTGTTGGACAACACAGATCTGATTAAAAATGACAACTATTACTAATGTGCATACCAAAAACATCTGGTAAAAGTGTTGCTCATGTCTTTTTAATCTAGTTTGCCATAGTTGGAATGGACTGGATTGAGAGTGGCAAGTAATAATAAGTAAGTACAAAACAAAAACACACTGTCATAGAAAATTCAAAAACTGAAGCTGAGGGAAAAATATTAATCCTTTATATTTATCCTCAGACATTTTATTTATTTATTTATTTATTTATTGCAAATTTTCTTTTTTGTCAACATATTTTACTTGGTAACAAATGCGATGTATGCATGATGCACACAAGTAAAAGGTAAAGTTTTTAATAACTAAAAAAGGAGCAGGCAAACACAAAATGTGCTCCACTAAGAGTCAGTACAAATAGTGTAATCTGGCCGCTAAACCCAAGAAGGTCCCTACAGTACGCTCGCCAAATTGTTGTGTCAAAAGCGTTTATGAGCTTCACGCCCGCCCGGTCTGGCCTTTAATGCTTATTTTGGAAGTGAAAAAAAAAAAAAAAAAAAAAATCACTTTATGGTCAGCATTCCCTAACCTAAATGAGTCTTAATTTCAGTGCGGTGTGAGAAAATATAAAGTACATTCTGAGTAATGTCGCTCGGATCCGTCTGCATCACTGCAGTAATAAAACCTATGAAATCATGAATAAACCTTTATGTTAGGAGCTCACATTGTTTGCCTTGCAAAAGATAGTTTTTTTTCAAGTGAGAACTCCATAAATCTGACATAATATGATACTTCAAAGAGCAAGTAATGCTCTGCCTTTGAATCTATTTTATCGTTTGAACTTCACTTTATTGTTCAGAAACAGTGGCTGTAATTTAACTAGCTTTATCACATTTCTGTTATTCATCCTATATTGGGAAGCACTTCACACACACACCTCGCGCTCTGCTGAGCCATCGTGGTTCCCACAGAACAGAGGTAACTTGCGTCAACATGTCAGCTCTGCTGAGACACACTTCTGATATCTCATTAAGCAAACACACAACAAATGCTAGAAATAATACACCACATAGAAAGCCCTCCCCACATCACCCTGCTTTGCCATTCCCATCAACTAGTAGTTAATTATCTAGCTTTGATTGCAGGCATGTTCATTTCACATTGTTAATTAGGATTGTGAATACTTCCTTAATTAGACCAGACCAGTCCTCAAGGACACTCTGCGTGTTTCTCTCTCTCTCTCTGTGTGTGTGTGTGTGTGTGTGTGTGTGTGTGTGTGTGTGTGTGTGTGTGTGTGTGTGTGTGTGTGTGTCCTCTCACCAGTTTAAAACGCTGCATGGGGATCCTACTGGTGTCAATGGGACTCCTCTTGGCTTCATCGCCGAACCTCGCCTCTGGAAGTGCGACGGCGCACATCATGTGGGCCCATCTGCAGCCGGGTCCACGTGGAAAAACAAACCACAACAGCACACACTGATCATTAGGATACACGGCCGCTTTATCTGGCGGATCTCTTGAGATTAGGGATGAAAACGCAGAGATAATCCAGGTGAACAAAAAGCACTGCTCACTTGTTGTTTTGGGTTTTCTTCAGGGCTCCACCTCTGAGGTTACAGAGACAGCACTCCTGAGGAAACCAATAAAGAGAGGTGAGTTACCAAAAAAATGTTCTCATGTGCTTGGACACACTTGAGGTTTGTCTAGCAAAACATACAAATAAAAACCTGTGGAACCTGTGGAAATATGATTCTAAATCATACAGTTTATAGGCACCCTTGGCAAGGATGTCTAAAAAACCCTTGAAATAAAATTACAAATTTAGAAAAAAAAAAATCTTTATTTGATCAAACTGATTAAATGGGGAGAAAAACAATGTTATGAAATGTGTTTAATCAAAACAATGTAGCTAAACTCTTTAAAAAGAATGTTTTTTGAGGCAGATCAGCGTTTCTACAAACTTCTAATAGCTGATCTACGACTTTGTTTCCACCGAGAACAAATATGACGAAACAGAAGCCCGCTTCTTTTAGCCACTGGCCACAAGGCTGGACAGAGACCCACATTTATTACACACACTGAGCAGGATGGTAAGGAAGGTAAATAAATCTGAGTGAGTGACATTTTGGGGTTTACCAAGTCTCTGTAACGACCCTTATACTGCATCTACATGCAAACTGATTGTTAGGGAGGAATGCCTGGAAAAAGACGTTCTGTCCTGCCATCAGAAACACTGTATAACTTTAATTGGAAATAATATCCTTTGGTCAAGTAAGATTAGGGTTTTCAGAAAGAAAAAGAAACACTCCAGGTGTCTTCTACATAAAAGAAAAGGTTAATATAAGAAAAAGCATCTGATGCATGCTGTTAAAGGGCAGAATTATGTATTTTCCAGGAACATAGTGCCATTTTATAGCACAACCAAGTGTCCATGTTATCTTCAGTTGTTATAAAAATGCTGTATACGTCAAACATACCAACATATTTCACATGTCTGAACAGACAAGACTACGGGCTTTTCTTTTGTTAAAAATTAATCCCTTAAAACAAAGGTTGGGTTTCTCTAAAATTGTCAGAGTAAGATTACGCTTATGCAATTAAAAAAAATAATTCAATTTAGGGTCACTTCTACATTTTACCACTTTGATACAAGACAGGACAGGTTTGCTAAAATATGGACATAAACTGTCTTACAGCTGCAAAGCCTCCTTCCGAACAGCGATCACACGACCATTGTTCGCTGATGTCTTCTGCAGCTACACCGTAGCAGCCTACAGGAAGGAGACAAGGGGAAAATCAGACGTCAAAAAAAAAAATGTCCCAGTAGAGTGAGATAAAACAACACAGTCGACAGGAACAGCGAGGTCTATTGTTACAAAACAGTGGACAAAATGCCACAGCCACATTGTTTTCAGAGGTTCTTGATGGCAATGAAGTGGTGGGTTTCTGTGTAGACAAGTCCAGTATTGCAGACTAAGTGGAAATTGAGATCTTAGTGGTCTGTGTGGCCGTGTGTGAGGGATTATCTGGGTGGCCATGATAAAAGAAAGCAAAAAATAAAAAAAAAATTAAAAAAAACAATACAAGGTTTTTTTAACTGTGGTTTCTGTGTATATTTTATGCTAAATGATACTTTCATGTTAAGCACTTTAAGTGATGATTTGTGATTAGTTTAGAAGCAGAATGTGCGTTTTGCAAGAAAAACATTTCAAATTACTTTCCACAAATAGAGATTTTTTTTTTTTTCAGATTTTGCTGTAGTAAAACTGCTTTGATTCCTTTAAACCTGGCAGATGGTTACAATAAAAGTACTAGAAGCCTTCAGACATGTAAGGAAGAGGGACATTTTAAAGTCTATGATCTTTTTCTTGACTATCCATCACATAACCAAAAATAAAATCCAAGCCCACCATCGTTTCCTTCCCAGAGTTCAGATTACTGTTCGGGGTGGGGGGAAGCTACATTAACGTGCATTCGCTCTCGTGTCTCAAAATCAAGCTTGTGGCTTTTTCCCTCGGTGTCAGATGACATAAGCTTCATTTCTTTCTCCCACACTCTAGCACAAACCAAGTAATTACAAATGCAGTACAGCTGCTATGCAGTCACCGCACAGTGCACAACATGTCTGGATCTCAGAGGATATGTGGCAGGATCAACTCTAGTATCAGGGATTGATTCTGACTCAGAGAGAAAGAAAGTGACTGTCAGACACTTCCAGATGTAAAGAACAGCCAGGCTCAGAAGTATTCATACTGTTATAGGTTTCTTCATTGGACCAAGTAGTTTGGTTCAGAAGGGAAATGATAGGTAATGTTTAATAGGACATTATTGTGGACATTATTAATAATCACTATGAGCCTCCTCGGTGATAAAGAGAGAAGCCTGCGTTGGCATTACAGTAATCAAACTTTTTTTTCTAAATGCTCAGCAGCCTTTTGCATGTTTCCACTATTACACTTCAAAAACAGAAAATCTCACTAAGTATTTTCTGTCTGGTTTCAATGCAAATATCTTAGAACCCTGGAAATAAGATGAGACCAACTTACAAGTAACTTTTTAACAGAACATAGGAGCATAGGAGGAGTCAGCAACTCATTAATATTAATAAAAACGCTACAAAATAATTAATTCCTCTGGCAGATTTTGAGTATTTTAAAAAAAATCAATATTAAGAAATTACTGACTTAAAACAAGCTCCAATATCTTGCTGAAAAGCTACTTGCAAGTTAGTCTAATTGTGTTTCAAGTGTGCCAAGACATAAAAATACTTGGTAACACTTGGTTATTTTTGCTAGTTGTTTGTCGTTTGCCATTTAGTACTTTTGCAGTAAAGTTAATTAGGTTCGCCACAGGATGTCAATTTGAACCCACCGACACTAAGAAGCTTGATGGTGTTTCAGAAAAGTCACTCTATTTTATTGTTTTTAGTTTTCAGTCTCCGTCTGTCATGCTAGATTTAGAAATGCTGGCAACCTTTTGGAAATCACAGCATCGTGGCAAATATCTACGTTATTTATGGGATCACGTGGCACAATATGTCTCTTATTCCATGACTATTTCAGTCCCCAGACATAACCTTCAGAAAGAAAACTGTGACGTTGCCTCTGCTCCAAATGTAAATATAAATTTTCAAACTACTTTGAATGCTGTTAATTGCAGGCCTAACAGAGAAATCTAATTGGGTAAAATGGTCAGCAGCGTGACAACGCAACGACTGAAAATCAGCCACAAATCTCTTGGTGCATCTCTAGGAAAGCAAAGCTAAAGCTGAATGTAAAATGCATAGGCTCTGTATGCTGTCAAATGAAAAGCTATACATATTTAAAGGCTTGTTTCTGGTTTGGGGCTTTAGAACACGGCCTATGTGTGGTGAAGAGAGAAGATTTGATTGGCTGATGAGGGAAGCAGAATACCTCTGAGAGAGAGAGAGAGAGAAAGCGAGGGACAGAGAGAGTGGACTGAGAAGAAAACAGACTAAAGAAAATCAGGACGTATAAACCCAGCAACCTTCTACCAAATACATAAAACATACTCCATCTACACTTTCTGCTGGCTGGTAAGTCCCATGAAGCTTGACCACAGTAAACAGTGGCATGTACCACAGAAAGCACTCTCGCTCACCGTCCTTCCCACTCTAATCACTCCCTGTGCAGACTTACTTGCGTGAACTTGCAGACAACAGCTCTGGCAGTACAGAAGAGGGGAGGTGCCGTCTTCTTGCAGCAGAGGGTTCGTAGGAGTTGGGGGGCAGTTCTGTTCTCGGAAAGAAAAGCAGATCTCCGGGACCAGGGGCTTGGATCTCCTCAGCCCGCCACAGCCAGGCGTGGGGGGTGTCTCCGTTGGAGACGAAGCTCTGGAGGGGTCCTTCGCTGTGACAGATTTGCTGTCTTCGGTTTTGTCGTCAGCCTGCAGGAGAAAGAGGCAGCATAATTTTTTAAAACCTAAACAGGCTGGAACATTGACAGGGTACGTGGGTGATGAAACATATGCCTCCCTGCGTTGTAAAGAGAGCTGTCACTCTACGTGACATTTCAGCCAGCAGGAAATTACAGGGGCCGACTGTAATAAACAGCAACATCCCTGTGGAAAAACTATGTGATTATTGTGACCTGTGGGGTTTAGTGTTACTTCTATTATTCATGTAATTGACCAGTAATCGTTCAGCAGCAACTTCAGTGCAAAGGCAAAAAGTGTGTTTGAAGAAACTGTATTAGGATTACAACACAATATATTCTGCTTCAGTAGGAAATCTAAGATTCTTCTTCACGGTTTGTTTTCGCTTTTCCCACCAACGTTGCGTGTTGAAATAAGCAAATAAACTTCAAGTTATTTGAACCCTGTAACTTCAGAACATAAAACAACAGAGTCTTGTTAGGTTACATGTTGGTTTTAAATTTAAATAAAATGCACACGAGGTAGGATAGACTAACAAAAATGGGAATCACCAACAATATCCTGACAAAGTGCTCACTGACCATTTGTTAGACAGTTAGAGCTACAACTGAGTGGTGTAGGTTAAACCATAGTCATGTGTTAGTAAAATGGCTCAGTCAAACTCCAACCCAACGAATAACAAGAGAAAAACTATCAAGGGACATCAACACTACTGAAGAGTGCTGCCTTGCAGGACCAGTGTTCAAGTAACCTTAATATACTTTGTTCTGCAGATTTTACAATACGTAGCAAAACGGAAATTAGAACTTCCGTTTCGATACACATCTACAGATGTGTGTTTACCTGATAATACGGCATGAAGAGTGTGCAAACAGCACAGTGTGGCTCCATGGTGGCTGCATGAGCATTGTACTCCCTCTCCGCAGAGAAGCAGCTCTTTCTGTTTTGCCAAAGGTAGATGAGAGGCTTTGCCCATCCTTCCATTTCATTCTCCCCCTCCTCATCCTCTTCCTCGTCTGCCAGGCTCGCTTCGGGAGGCTCTGTTTTAAGAGGGTCAAATGCGAGTTTGCAACAATAGCTGTTAATACGCAACACATAACAGAACAGAGAAATTGGAAGATGCAGTTCATATGCCGAGGAAATTATTTGATTTTGCTCCTCACGCCGTGGAACGAATAGGAGTCTGAAAGGTGTTTGAGCTGAAGTCATTTTTTAGCAGCCACACTATTTGGATTTGTGACTTTCAACATTTTTTCTGCTACACTAAAAACAATCCAGCGATTATTCATCAATCACTGAATACATTATTAAAGGTTTTATTTGGAAACATAGTGCAGAGTGGAAGAGTTGGTAGCACCAGGCTCGGTTTGAATCCTGGCCTACATGTTCTCTCTGTGCATGCGTTACTCCTGTTACTCCAGCTTCCTCCCACAGTCCAAAAACATGACTGTTGGGTTAAATAGCCTCTGGATTGTCCTCAGGTATGAATGCGTGTGTGTGTTTGTGTCATCCTTCCCTTTGTTTTGTTTTTTTTCCACCTACTTGATTCCTAACTTCTTTAGATTACATATTCAAAGCACTGACCATTACACACATATTTATTACATCACACTGACTTTTTGTATTTATTCCTTTCAAATTCAGTCTAAAAAAAAAAGACTGAGAATCCAGGAGATTGGAGTCTGGAATTTTCACCTAGAAGATCAAATCAAGCTCGAACTCGAGTTGAAAACAGTTAAGTTAGTTTGTCCAAGAAAAAAATTACATCGGTGTTGCACCGTCACAATTATAGACTTGTTTTATCTCATGTTAAAACTAAACATCAGTTAATAACGTATTTTCGGCTCTTGCTTATTTGATTCTTTCTCAAGGGTCAAAATCGGGAGACATTTAATAATAGCGGCTTATCGTTTTAGCGATTGTTAGTTAATTAGGTCTATTATTTGGGTGTGGAAATGCAGCATGTGTTAATCTTATAACTGCTGTTTGCAGTTTTCATTCTCTAATGCAGACTCGCTGTGCAGTCGCATCTAATCCCTGTAATTATAAGGAATCCTAGCAACAATTTTTAATTACGTCTTCACCCGGGACTGTTGTGTCAACAAAATGACAACAGAACTCTTTGCTTTCCTGCCGATGATAAAAGAGTTGACTAAAATACGTTTTTGGATTATATTTACAGCCAAAAACATTCAGCACGTTGTTCTCATCTCGCAATAATCCCCTCATTTTTAATAGCTTTCTGTTAGCACCGCTATAATTATTGGTTGCATTTATCAAATGAAAATTAATATCTCGCAGCTGTGGCTACAATAAGTTCACATGCCTGCGTAGTGATGAAAAAGCTCTTCAAAGCTAAATAAATAGTAGTTCATCTTTCTAACTGCTGTAATAATCATTAACAAGTGAGCATGGGTGTTTAAACTTATTAAGGAGTTATTACTAATAAAACCAGTGAATCTGCACAAGCAGGCCCTGCGCTTTGTGAATTGTTGCTAAAGAATTGTTCATAAGTATGCCAAATGTCCCTAAGTCACAGATGATATTTGTTCCAATGTCTTAATCAACTGATTTGTGTTTTATTTAGTTATCTTTGGTCTAATCCAGACAGATTTTCATCATTACTTCATTTAGAAGCTACTCTCATCAGAAGGGATTTTTCTTTTTTAACCTAATTTCACTTAATCCAACATGTTCTATGTAACTATAAGGATAAAAAGTTGTATGTTTTTCCACACAAAACAATTTTTTTGTCAGCTGGCACTACACAGACTGAGCACTCATCCACTACATTGGTGAAAGTGATGATGCATACAGCGAGAGTGCTTGAACTTGTCAATTACTACTATTTTAAGACTAAAATTATTGCAGATCCAGAGCTTTGAGCTAACCTACAGGGATGTATTAACATCTGTAGTGGCTGATGTTAGTAATTTTTTTTAACATACTGGGATGAAGGTGATAAGATATTCAAAACTGATGTTCATCTCCATCGTGTTGCTGTTCGCGTTTCAGGAGGGGTGAGACTAGGAAGGGGCTGGCCTTACGGTATTTATTCGGTTATGTGACAGTGATACAGTGCAGAATTGTGGGGGTGTTCAAGTAAAATAGAGTGTTTTGGTCGGGAAAGAGTGTAGAGAAATTTACATATTATGGGTAAGTAGCTATTGGTTTAAACTTTCGTATCCAAGCAACCCTAGAAACGCGCATAGCTCATCTGTGTTTCTAGCACTCATGCTCATTTGAGGACTTGCTGCTCAGTTCAATCTGATCTCTCCACAGACCAAGCTATTTCCTGAATATGAAAGTCCTCTCAAAGTCATGGTCATTCTACCGTCATTAAGATAAACCGTTACAGCGGGTGCTGAAATATTCAACCCTCACAATCATGAAGATAACGAAATGTGATTTTGTGTGTGTACATGCATCAGGAGTGTTGCTAAGGGGGACCCCTCACGTCTGCCTCGTATAAACTTTGAAAACAAAACAGATCATCTATTCTAAAGGTCATTGCACTGTGGTAGGCCAGACAATTAAATGTTTATGAGTGCATTGACGTCAGAGGCATCATACTGGTCATGGTGGTGGGAGTTCATATCATTTAGAATATAAGGAGGGAAGGAACAGACCACAGAGCTGAAGGATTTACTGTGGGAAAAGACACATTTGAGTTAATGATACAGAAATTATTAGTTACAACGCTTCACAAAAGCATTCTCACTCCTTGAGCTTTTTTTGAATTTTGTCACATTATAATCACAAACTTCAATGCATGTTATTGGGATATTATGCAATAGACCTTCAAAAATAATACACAACTGAAGTGATTTTTTTTTTTTATATATGCGTTCAAAACTTTCTTGTTTATAAATAAAATCTAAAAAAAAAAAAAAAAAAAAAAAAAAAAAGTGGCCCAAAAAATTGCTCCAGCACCCCCCGAAGTAAATA